AATGCACCCTATGTAATAGTATATACTGTATGTAGTGAATATACATCTATCTTCTCTATGTATACTGCTATCACCTTCTCTTGTTCCCATTGAGCATTGAGTGAACTCCCCCTTTTGAGACTTCAGATTCCATAATTAGAATACACACCATGTACTGTCCTCTCTCCCAGTGCACACTTCATTTGCAGGATGTCTACACCCTTTAGGCATGTTGGATATGCACACTGCTCATTAACATGTATAGAATCCATTCCATTCTACCTCTCTTCCTTGAAAGTGGCTAGCCAGCACAATGTGAGATGCATACTTGCATATGTACGTGTGTATCATATTCATTTCTATTCACATTTCAGCCATGATTAATCATTTGGGAGGGAAAGGAGAGCCCTTCAGATTTCAGTGTACTGCAGTCTGATCAGTTACAGAATGATTTCTGGTTGGTTGCTATAGGTCTCTGAACTTTGACACATCACCACTGCTCTTTGCACTGCTTTACTAGTGAACTTGACAATGTGCTTTGTTAATGAGTGTAATTAGATGTGATAGGAAACCACTGTGTTGTTTTTTTTTTTAACTTTCCAAAGACTACTTCAAAGTTAAAATGGAAATCCATACAAAGCTTTTGTGTTTTATTTATTGCTGCCTGTGTCCTCTACAGGGAGATATCCCATTCCTTCATACCCTGATGACAATTGTCACCGGGACATGAAGGGAAGAAAATCCCCCAACAGGGCTATAGGCAGCAGTACAAATTCAACATAGGCCGTAATCCTCCCTTCACTCTACGAATAATGGTGTTTTTGTTGCGGATTGTCCCCACTGGAGAGATACCTTCCCAATTCCTGTCCCGCTGACAGCAAAGTAACAAGAATTCTCCCCAGCACAAACATCAATAAAATATGACAAGAGGCAGAGGTTCCAACTCTTCACCACAGTGATCTAACAATAATGCTTTCCTGAGGTTCCACTTTAATCCACTTCTAGTTGTGCCGTTCTAGAAGCAAAAATACCACTGCAATACACTCATTAATAGTAGAATCAGGGCTGAAATTGTGTATAGTCAATATAGACCACAGTCTAGGATGGCAGGGATGCCAGGGGTAGCACACAACCACCTATGTATCATTTCAGTAGCACTTGTATAAGAAACGTTTCCAGACTTCTGTCCTGTCTGCCAGTGCCATCCAGACACATTCTTATTGTTACTGCCCTTTCAAAGTTTGGTATTTTGTTGGTGGAAAAGTGTACTCAGGGCCGGATTTCCCACAAGGCCCGGCCTTGGGGCAGCACGGAGTAGAGGGGCAGCAGGGGTATGGAATTCCTATCTCTCGATGCCTGGGACATGCAGTTCCCAGGCATGTGGGCGCATTGAGGAACCTGGCCTTGGGGCAGCAAAGAGAGTAAATCCGGCCCTGAGTGTACTATGTATTTTACCCACTCCATGTCCGTACACTTAGAACACAACTGCTAGCAAGGCAGCAGTCTAGTCATCAGTTTGGGGTTCGGTGTGCAATGACACATTGGCTGTCTCTTTTAGCCTTCTTTCCCCCAGCCTCAGCGTGCCTTGTGTGGCTCTAATATCTGCTTTTTTAGTGTGATACTTAGGCTAGTCAGTCATCTGAGGTAGGAGGAACAGATGGCCTGGGAGGGCAGGACATAAAAATGTGGCCCTCAGGAGACTGACAGTTGTGACTAGATTATATATTTATATATTTATCCAAAATCATTTACCATTTCCTGTAGGTGCTTTGGCAAAGACTATTATAGATAGTAGTGGGCCTCCTGTGTGGTTTGAGCTCAGAGCAGTTGCATTCTGTGGCTATAGTTCCCCCCTGGCCTTATGTTTATTGTGTACACACTTTACATTGGGATTCATGTTTAGTGGTATGAATTTCAAACTGTGATCTTCCATGAATAAATACATAACTATACACACTGTGATCTCCCATGCAAGCGCACTTGCTGTATGTACACATGACACAAGTGATCTTTCCCTTAGAGCTTTAGGCTTCATAGTGTGATCTCTCATGTACATGTACACCCTTTTCACTGTGCTCTCTCCTTGTATTTGTGCACCCTAACCCTCTCAGTGTGCCTCTTGTATACACATGTTCCCTCCTGTATATATTCCCATGTCTCCCACAGGGCCGGAAGCCTGGGTACTTCTCCTTCTTGGATCCTTTCTCTCCTGCTGTCTGGCTCTTCATGTTGTTGGCTTATCTGGCCGTCAGCTGTGTGCTGTTCTTGGCAGCCAGGTAATGAACCCTGTTTATCCGACCTCCCTGTGCACTGAACTGTATATACATCTGCTGTAATAAGCATTGTGTACCTCTAATGTGCTGAACCCTTATCACTTTTAGTATTCTGAGCCCTGTGCACCTTAATCTTCTGTGCAGCCCGACGTTCCAGAAATTATGCATAATCCCTTTGCACCATAATAAATGTTCAGTTGTGAAACCCTTAGTAATCTTGGATATTTTACATATAACAATGAATTTAAGTCATGTGGCTTTATTTGCTCTATATGCCATGTAGATTTTGGAAATACCAAGCAAACTGAGAAATTGTGTTCATTAAACAATATTGTCATCATTCAACTGTTTGTAGAGCTACATTTTTTTTCTGCTGTCAGACAAACACACTGTACTTGGGCCATGTGCAGCACCCATTACAGTGCCCTAATGTCCAGGCTATTACTGTCTGTCACCTGAAAATATTGGAATCATTTTATGATGTGATATGTCACAGATTGAATTGCTTTGCTGTGGTTTAGCAATTAGCAACCTGCAGCTGTTGGCTGGTGGGGCATGGTAGGCTTGGGATTGTTCTGCCAGATTTAGAGGGCTCCTGGATGCCTGTGCCTGGTCTAGTGCACTTTATTACGATCAGCCTCTTAAAATGTCTTCAGCTGATGATAAACAAGGCCAAGTAACCTAAATTTAAAAAGGCAATATGTTAAACCAAGGTATTTATGGCTCTGCCAAAAATAATGGATTGTATAGTATATACATTCTAAAATAAGGGAAAATATGGGTATTGCCTGTAACAAAGGGATAAGAAAACAAACTGAAAGGCAGCAGTAGGCAACACTACCATTTCTTTGTTGAAGTTATTATACACTATATGGACAAAGGTTTGTGGACACTTGACAAACACAACTATCTAATTTAAAAACTATGGACATTAATGTGGAGTTGCCCATTCAGCCAAAAGAGCAATTATGTGGTCAGTTACTGATGCTGGATACGAAGGCGTGGCTTGTAATTGGCTTTTTAATTCAATAATCAAAAAGAACCCATCGCACACCTGACCGGATAGTACCCTCGTGTATCGGGTGGGTGCCAAGCGACCACATTTCCCTTGGCAAATCAGTATAAATATGAAGAAGTCACTCGCACCCCTTCTCCAAGTCAGTAAATATTTTATTGACTTCTGTGTGGAGGAACTTGAAAGCCCTAAACAGAGCCCTGACCTCAACCACACTAAACACTTTTGTGAAGAATTAAAAAGCCAGTCACACTCCTGCTCCAATTCAGTCAATATTTTATTGACTTCTGTGGTGTCACAACATAGCGACGTTTTGGAACCTGTTCGGGCCCTTCATCAGGGAAACAAAGAGTTTGTTTGCCTGATGAAGCGACCGAACATATTCCGAAACGTCGCTATGTTGTTACACCACAGAAGTCTATAAAATATTGACTGAATTGGAGCAGGAGTGTGACTGGCTTTTTAATTCTTCACAAAAGTGTTTAGTGTGGTTGAGGTCAGGGCTCTGTTCAGGACCTTCAACTTCCTCCACACCGAAATCATAAAGCCATGTTTTTATGGAGCTGGTTTTGTGCACAGGGGCACAGAGTCTAAGTATAATACAAAAGATCCTTCCCCAAACTCTTGACATAAGGTTGGAAGTGAAAAAATTGTCTTTTTATGCTGTAGCATTAACAGTACTCTTTACTAAAAACAACTGAACTCCATAATTTGGAGCGTTGCCCACATACATTTAGGAATATAGATAGGCGTTAGGGTCAGATGTCCAAAACATTTGAACATGTAAATAAATCCCATTACATGCATTCTTTGTTAACAATGTGTTTTTTTGTTTGTTTTGGAGATTGTATCAGTACCGGGGGTTTTATTAACCTAAGGCTGATAGTTTAGGTCCACATGAGAAGTTCCATAGAAATTACTTCTCTGCAATAAGTTTAGGGGGAGATCATGAAATGCTCCATGAGAAATGTATGATACACAACTAATCAAAATCAAAAGAGACCAAAGGTTTGAGCTTTCACTTACTGGTCTATATACCTGGAAATCATTTGCCCTTTTGCAAGATACTTACTTGTATACATTTCAAATGTGGCTCCGGCTGAAGTCTCCTTAGTTGTACTTAGCACTTCAGTGAGGACAGTTCTGTCGACAGCACTACTGAAACAGTTGCAAATAGATAGAGTCTGTGAGACTCTCTTTTTTTCCTCTGTACAATTTAATGTGGTATAAGGACAGGACATTAGACTTTACTGTCAATGCAGCTTGATTATTTTCCTCCTATTCATCAGTCCTGAACATCTCGAATACTTGTTTTTTTTGACGACTGAACTGACCTTTTCTCTGCAAACAGTGAAATTCAGGGGATCGATTGCTTTTGTCTGACTGAAGGCAATAATTGCTCCACTAACACCTAAAAGAACTAGCAATTTGTCATTATATTGAGTGGCTGAAAAAAACTTCATAGCGAAATATAAAGTGCGTAAAACAAGAAATCAAGAAATAAAAAAAAAGACACATCCTAAAGAAAAACTGCATCTTTATCCCTCTGTTGGATTCAATGTACTGTACATGTCCTAATTCATTGAGATATATATCTATATATATATATCTATTTGATTTTTTTCGTCAAAGAAAAGGGCAATTTGTATGTGCAGTAACCATAAGTAGCAAATCAAATGTTTTGGCTAAGAACATGGCTATTACATCGTTGCATTGTTGCATTGTCAACTGTAGGAGCAGATAGACTGACCACATGGCTCAAAAACAAGTCCAGCCTTTCCCATTGGCTAAACAAACATCTTAAGTGCCTACACAGGTTGCTGGAGTGCAATACAGGTTGCTATGATGTCTATACACAGATCAAATTTATGGCCACTTCATGCTGAATTGGCCACAATTTGATCCACGGGTGGCCCTACCAGCACCACCTGGCTTCACGAAAGTCAGTTTTTCAATGGACTCTTGTTAAAGGAGTTGGGTGGAAGGTTGTTGGCAGACCAGTGCCTGCATCCATTTAGCTGCAGTCACTGTTTAGTTATTCTGACTGGCAGGGAAGATGTCTTCATCCTCGCTCTTTAGCATGGATGGGGGAATTGAGTGATTTCTCTTGCTCAGACCCATGGTAGGCCAGCTTTACCATTTCAGACTTTAATAAATATGGTCAGCATCTTTACCAAATATATACTGGGGCTTATGTATTTAAAGTGGCACTAAAGTCAAGAGTTAAATCTTAAAAATGCCTTCAAGTACCTTAACTATTAACAAAAACGAATCATATTTTTGCATTACTCATCTGTATATCCTCAAATCATCTCTGAATTGGTGCTGACAGTGTCCTTCCTTCTGGAGTGGGGCTACTTTTGTTCCCCATGGTCCCTGTGTGTGTTGTAAAGTAGTCACCACTCCAAGCTCACTCCCGGGATGGACTACAATCTTACGTTTAAGTTGCTAATCTGTATTGAGATTGTAGTCCATCACGGGAGTGAGCTTGGATCAGTGACTACTTTATAACACACACACACATGGACCATGGGGAACAAAAGTAGTCCCCCTCCAGAAGGAAGGACAGTGTCAGCACCAATTCAGAGATGATTGGAGGATCTACAGCCGAGTGATGCACAAGTAAGGTCCAGTATTGTTAATAGTTAAAGGAGAACTATGAGGTGAGTGCTTTTCACTCACCTCATAGTTCTAGCCGACCTGTGACAATGAGACTGTCACAAGTCGGCTCAGTAGATCGGGAGGTGAGCGAACACATACCGGTGTTCGCTCACCTCTCGATCCTGTCACGGCTCTCTGCCGTGACAGGGGAGGGGCTGGATTCCCCGCTCCGATCCTCCAGCGCTGACTGGTGGAACGGACAGGGGAGGGGGCGGGTACAGCTGGCTCTGCCTCTAGGTAGGCAGAGCCAGCTGTCACTCACGCAGCATAATTGTCGGGATCCGCTTCAGCTGCGGCATCTTTGTATACCGCGAGCAGTAGCGCGCGGTATACTACGGCTGAGCCTAGGGTGACGGGAGGATGCTAGTCTGTGTCCTCCCGTTACCCTAAGGAGAACTATGGGGAAAAGCCTTAACCCCATAGTTCTCCTTTAAGGGACTTGAATGCATTTTTAAGATATAACTCCTGAGTTTAGTGTCACTTTAAGGATTTATTTTTCCTGTAACAACCAATCATATTCTCTACAGTCACAACAGTCAGAATGAAAGATGGAATCTGATTGGTTGCGTAAAATATTAGTTCTCATTGGTATTGGACAGCATAGACCTTTTCTTTGCTTTGGCTTTTATACATTGGCTTGTATATGATGTATTGAAAGAAAAGTCCATGGGCAAGCTAAGGGTTAAGGAAAAATTGCAGCTTTTGCCTACAAATTCCTCTTTAGATTTACAATATATTTGACCTATTCGGATGTACGTCTGCTAAATTAAAACTTGTTAGGTTGCCGAGACATGGGAACCCCGAGGCATAAAACACAAGTCATTTCCCCGCACGGTTCTGTTTGTTTTGGAATGTAGATGCTGGATTTGCTCCTCAAACATACATAAGAAAAGTAAAGAACTAGCACCATACAGCAAATGCATTCACTCATTCCCATCCAGTGTTCACATATTTATATCTAGCCAAACAACTGAATACGCAGCTACAGAAGACACATTCCAGCTCTCCCCTCCTCTTCACAACATAGGCGTTTGACTACGGCCGCCCCCCAGGAAGGTGCCGCCCTAGGCAAACGCCTACTTTGCCCCTGGCTGTAATACTCATCTCCTTTCCAACACTGTCCTTTTATGAGGCCTGCCCAGATGAATGACACACATTCAACCCACTTTCTATGAACCCAGGCTGTCATGGGCCTGCCTCCCCCCAGGCTGGGGTCGTAGGATATTGTAGAGAGCAAAAATCTGCCACATCATTGTATGTCAGGATTCTGAATTCTTCTTTTGCCATGGGAGAAAGGAGAGGAGGAAGAGGACACATGGAATCATACAACCAGACCAAAGACAGCTGGAAAAGGGTAGATGTAAAGTTTAAAAAAATATATGCATAACAAAAATTAATATAT